GTTCTGACCACTTAGACTCTGCATCCTGCACCGCTGACCTCTCTGAATATTTAACTCGACTTTTCCTGAAAGCTTTCTTTGTACAGCTCTGTGCAGCATCAGGAACGACTTTCAGGAGATAATTTTCCACAGTGTGCATCCTCACCTGAATCCACTTTAGCCCTACTTTGAAGTATTTCCATTCTAAAGTAGCTGCCAGTACTTTACTCTTTAGGTGTCACAGAGGGTGGGATGCTTGGAGGATCCAGGAGCATTTAGCCCTTCTCGAGTGTTTCGGCCCTCCACACACAGACGTGGACAGTTTAGTCCACACATATGCTGGGACAAGTTCTAGTTTGCTTTAACTGACTCTGAGAACAGTTTCTCCGTCTGGCTGCTGATCTCTGGTCCAGATCTCCTCCTACGAGACAGATTTTCAGTGAAAACTAATCTGTCCACAGGCGGCTCTCACGCGCTCAGGTTTAACGCGATGCCAACTGTCTGTTTTTGTCCCAGTCTCTCTCATTTGGTGTCTTATAGTCACATCTGTGTCTCTGTGTTGTTTCCCGTGCTCTGTCTGCAGGCTAGCTTCAAAGACTAAAGGATTATCCACAATGCCCACAATGAAGCTTAGTTTATGGTCATTATATCAGATGTTATGAGGACGGGGATTTGTTGTTTTCTTCTCCTGAACTTCTTTTCCCAACTCAGCAAAACCTCAGCACTGGAAGAAGTGGACACAGGAAGTAATGAGATTGCCAAGTTTGTTTGTTTTTTTTCACCAAATATTATCCAGACAGTCTATTTTTTTCAAGCATATCACACGTGTATAATCAAGGACATGCAGTGAACAATAACACAGTTGCATGGGTGTTACTGCACTCCGTTGTTTGAGCTGGTGTTTCTGAGATGGTGTTCTTCTTAAATATCTTCAGATGTTTCTGATGCTTAATGTTAATACTTCCTCTATGTATTTTCTATAGTGCATTTAGTGTCTAGTTCTTAGTTCCTTGTGTGTGTGTGTGTGTGTGTGTGTGTGTGTGTGTGTGTGTGTGTGTGTGTGTGTGTGGGCGGGCAGCAGTGTTTCTGGTCCTCATTTATCTGTTTTTACTGTGCCCACGTTCTCCTGAGCTGGATTTATTAGCGAACTGGGCCCTGTCAAAAGCTTGCCTTATGATAGCATGTGTGCACACGATGGAGGCCGGGCCTGCCGCGTGTGTTTCTGCCCTTTGAGATGTTTTGTATTGATGTGCATGTGTGAGACGGGCTGAAGAACCCCAGAACTCTCCCAGCCTGTTCATATCTACGCTGTAGTTTTCATTTTTCTTTGTTTTCTCTTTAAAACCTCAAATAAACGTTCTAACATCAGCTTTGATCAGCGGTGCTGCTAAAGAGTGGTGGCGTCTGGCTTTCTTCACTGGGCCAGTTTTTATTATTTAGCGGTCTGGAGGAAACTTTTCATGCTTTTAATTCCCCACATTTGGCTCCTGCAGTCCTCGTGGTTCTGGCATCAGTCGAGCCTTCCATCGTCAGAGATGTTCATGTTGCAAAGCTCTTGCGTCTTATCTGGCAGGTGTTTGATTAGTTTTAGTGTTCAGCCGCCTGCTTTTTCTGTCTCTGTTCAAACTCCTGCTTCTGTTGGCTTCAGTTACTGGAGGTAGGATGTGATATGCGTCAGCTGGGGCGCTCACACATGCCACCGTTGATGGCAAACAGTCACCTCGGTCTCTTCTGCTGGCGTGGGAGATTTATGATTCTGTTTTTCCAGCAGGTACAGGTGGCTCCAATTCTTCTTCAGCTTTTTAAAAGTCGCAATGAATCAGCCTATGAAAGGCCTAATGCGTTTCATATGGCCCAAGCTATTCTTTCTGCTAGGTGGACCTTTCACACTGCAGCGAAAGAGAAAATAAAACGCACAACATGACACTAAAATGGACTTTCTTTGTTTGAATACATCAAACAAAGAAAGTCATATTTAAATTCAAATTTTAAATCTTAATCATCCCAAGGTTTTGCAACACTGACCATATATGGTATCAGATTTATTTAATAGGATTACATATGAAAGCGATTGCTCCTCATATCAAGCCCTGTCAACTCCGACCTCTCCCAAAGTCACACTGCACTGCTGTGTGTTTGCAGGAGTCAGAGCATCAACAAACAGCCAGTGTGACTGCGAGGAAGCTTCGGCTGGATGAGCTACACTGGAGCTACCATAAACTTCACACCCGAGCCTCAACTCTTGCGGCCCGGTACAGGTCCGTGGCCCGGGGGTTGGGCACCGCTGGTGTATATTTATCAAAATCGAGCAGGTTGACCTTTAACCTGGACTCATTTCCTGCAAGTCGCTTTGCAACCCCCATTAGCTTCTGCTGCTCCTCCATCCATTCATGCTGTTCTGACTTAAACAGCATCATGTCTGCTCTGTTACGTGAGACGATCATTTAAATTCAAAGTGCTGCACTGGGTATTGATTCTGTCACCGTGCTTCCTGTTGTCTGTATAAAAGAAAAGCTGTGAGTATAATGTGGTCTAATATTAATTTATTTTACTGCTAAAATATGACATAAGGTAACCCAGTAATTTCCAGAAGACTGTATCTTTATCATGACTTAATCCCATTTAGCCTGAAGTGGAGGAAAATGCATTATTTTTGTCATAACTCTACAACTAAGAGTGGATTTTCCCGGCAGTGGCGACGTGTTTTTCCATTAGTCCAAATGATGTGACTGTAGGCTCAGTTTAATCGTTGAAATTATTTGAATTCTAGCTGTGACTATTACTTCCTATCAGAGCTGTGAAGTTGAAACCAATGCTCACTCTCTGTTGCTGCGAACACACTTCTTCACTTCTACCACCTACCTCTCATTGCCATTACTGCTACTTTCCCTATGATACAGCTCTATGTTGCGTTCATATTTTCCGCATCATTCATAACACGTATTATTGTGATTGGTGTCGTGCCGGGTAATAAAAAAAGGGCGTGATGAAGTGATTCACCCAGGCTTCTCCAACCGCATTAGAGAGCTGAGCCATATGGCTGTAAATACAGCGGAGCAGCGATGACTTAATTGCTGGACTCGTTTGGGAAAAGAAAAACAGTTTGTTGCTATTAGCTCCTTTATAACCACTGCTAACCACTGCTTTTACATTATCACTTCCACTGCATGCGCACACTCACATTAGACCAGACAGACCCAGGACATCCACACTATTGTTGTACTTTCCACAGTAAGGAGTGAAATGCTGTCACGTATGACCTCACTCTTGCCGTCATATCATCCCTGTATAGGCTGGAAGAATGTGTCACACGTTGGGTTGCAGCCATGCAGCACACTAACGAAGCCACGTCTCCTCGCTTTTTATGGCTTTTTTGGTGCTGTCGATGTCGTCACTACAGCCTGACGACAGCCTTTGCTTACAGACGCATGCTAGCTGTCAGACGGTGATCTATGTAAATGGATTGGGTTCTTTTGGTTTTGGTCGCCACCCAATGTGTCATGTGTTTCTGCAATTGTGTCAAGTCAGCTCAGCGAGCGCTGTAGCAGCGTAACGTAGATGTGACCACAAACTTCTCCTTTGCCAGTAGCAATCAAGACGTGATCTCTGCTGTGCAGCCACAGGGTGTGGGTGAAGAGGGGAACGCCACGGGTGATGTTACGCCATGATTTAGGCCATTTGTGAGTGGAAGCCTTTCAAGCCTCAGAAGGAAAGCGAGTTAAACGTAGATAATCAAGTTTCTGACCTCGTTCTTGGAGGAGGCTGTCCTCCTGTGCAGATGGACCAACCAGGGTCTGTAAGTTTGTGACGTTTCTGCTGTGGCTTTAAGTGAAGTTGGGTAAATGTGGTGAACTTCACGGAGGCATTGGTGATGAATTGTGTTGGCTTTTGTTGTTTACCACATATGTACACGCCCACAAAGGCCTGATTGGCACAAAATTTGGCACCAATGTTCCCAGTTCACAAACGCTGAATCCAGTAACTCCTGATTTATCAGGACCAAAAGCAGCTTTTTGTTTCACCTGAAATATTTCACAAAGTCTTCCAAATATAAATTGGAAAACCCCCAAAAACTTTCCCAGTGAAATCCTGTCCAGCGTTTGTTTGTAAACACCAAAACGGAGCGAAGGCTACAAGCTAGCTCGTGGCAGTCAGCTCGAGCGGCATCGTAGACGCTAACAAGCCACGAAGAAAGTAAAGTTCCTCTGGCACCGGTGCTCAACACGAAAGTAACAGCTCATCTCATACGAAGCTTGACTTTTCTATCACACAGTGAACCTGTGATCCAAGTTTACCTCACAGGGTTAAAGCCTCCTCTGGGGGATGGTCACCGGGTTTAAACTCCTGTTTACTGTTGGAAATCCTGCTTTTCAAACCAAACCTGGAGGTGAAAGAGAAGCTAAACAGCAGCTGCAGGAACAAAGGGGAACTCGGGAGGTGCACACCGCGGTGTCCTAGCTCATAACCCAGGAACTCTGACTGTGCTGTACAGTATGAAACATTATGTAAGACCTCAAGATGTTTGTCATTGTTTGTGTGGTTGAATCATCAGTTGGAGGAACCAGCATGGACCAAACATGGACTACAGGCGACTGCAAAACAACAGCAGCACAGCATGTTTGACTGTGAGTCAGTGAAGGGTAGCAGTGTCTTTAAAAGCCCAACACGTCCTGGCAGGTTGATCTTCAGCAGCGTCACCGAGTGCTGTTTTAAACCACCGGTGATGAGTTCCTCCTCGCCCCAGCACTCCCAGCACTCCCAGCACTTCTGTGTCTTTCAGTGTCTGGTTTAGTAATGAACACCACTTTCCAGGAAGGTGAAACTCTGAGCTGCCACGAGCTCCCTTTAGATGTCCCTTTGACACTCACACAGACAGGAGCAGCCTATTAGACGTGCTGTTCTCCCACCCCTACGTGGGCTGTATCCAGTAACGTCTCTTTTTTGGTGCAAATTGCCCCCGAGCTGGTGTGCTCACCGACATCCGTCAGGCTTAACTGACAGCACTAATGTGTTCTCCTCAGGTTGGTGGTTCGTCAGCACAGCGGAGGAGCAGGGCTGGGTCCCGGCCACATACCTCGACTCGCAAAATGGAACCAGAGACGATTTGGATCTGGGAACATCCAGGACTGTCGAAGGTTAGTGCTGACACAAACACGGCGTTGTTACATTCATAAAACTTAAAGACATAAACGTCAGTCTGCGTGTGCAGGGGGCAGCCCATCCTTTCTAGTTTCCTTCTGTGTTCATTCTCATCACATCATCCACAAGTTAGTGCTGAACACACAAACACATTTCCAGTCACACATTGGGAACCTTGGAGACCACAGTGGCGGCAGCAGCACGGTGAAATGGTACCAGACTGCAGCCAACGGGGTTGCAATATTTTGGCACCACAGAAAATTCCTTCCAGCTCCCCCGGGACGCCACGGCTCTCGTTTTGTTGCGACCCTTTCCTCCTGAATGTTTAGTCTGCCTGCTGGGACGGAGCATTTCCTCACTGTGTCATCCCCCCCCCCTCTGAGATCTGGAGCGTGCAAACGCACAGACGCATGCGTGCAGTTTATTTGCAGATGCATGTAGCAGTTTATGGGATGTAGAATCCCGCTGGATCCTCCTGCAAACACTTTTCCGTCTCTGTTGCGACACATGCTGGGCTCCATGCTTCAGTGGGCAAACAAACACAAACAGCTCAGTTGCTGTTACTCGCTGCTCCTTTTGAGGAGGTGGCAGCGCCCGTAACAAAGATTTAGTGTTGTTTTGTTACATTGTGACGTGCCGGAGTGTTTGCTGCCTGTTGATTGGATGCATGTGTTGTTAATGGTGTTTCTGTTTGTTTTTGAGTTGTGCTCAGAACTTGTTTGACATCTGCTGCAGATTCCCGAACACCAACACCCAGCTCTCGGGAATACGTTAGGCTTATTATATCTTTGTAGCTTTGCCCGTTGATTCTGACGTCTGATTTATTCAGCTGAACTGAATGGATGTTGCATCACTGAATGAAACGGCACGCACGAGGCTCGTGCTCTGACTTCGTGCAGGTTGACCGCTGCGCTCTTTTCATTGGCCTCGCTAAATTTACTACTGGACACTTTCAGTTGAGAAAAGTGGAGCTAGAATTTTAACAAAAACAGGAAGAGAGGGCGAAGCATCTGAATGATCTGGTCACCTGTTCATCTGCTGGAACCTCAGCTAGAAACAGCTCCGCTCACATTCACGGTAGCTCGACCATCATCATCATTATTGTTTTTATCGTTGGTCATTTTTATTTCTTTTGGTTTTAATGTGACCTCTGAAACACCTCGATTGGCTTCCTTGGATGTCGGACAGCAGCAGGTGTTGGTTGGTAAGCCTCTAAAAGCCCTTAGAGGAGGCCTGTGTGTGTGTGTGTGTGTGTGTGTGTTACATTTTCTGTCATATACAGCGTACTTTGACAAACAGATCAATGATGTCATCACAGCTCGTTTCTTTCATTTCCAGCTGCTCACAAAAGTGAAGCTATTCCTTGAGAGAGCTGTCCATGCCTTCGTTTCATCTTTACTCTGGTGTCAGTCTGTTATCAGTGAGCCGACTGCAGCAGGTCCAAAGCGCTGCAGCACTGTTACTAACCAGCACTCGAAAGCGAGACCACATATTTCCATACTAGCATCGTTACTGTCACTTTTTGAACTGGCTTTTGTCCGGCATTGCACGAGTTCGCTGTCCGAGCTGTCCCGAGGTCCTTTGCTGTGACTGCTCCTAAACCGGGAACCTCCCCTCCACAACATTTGAAAACCCAATTTTATTCTATTTTTAAACCAGAATCAGTTCAGACTAATTTTATTTGCGTTATTTCTCATTTTATGTTTCTTTTCTGTCTTTTAATCTCATTCGATTATTTTAGAGGTGCAACACTGTGAGCCCCAATCTTCAGGCTGCAGTTCTTTCCTTTACTTGTGCCTCGATATGATGCCAGTCAGAGCAGATCTATCAATACAGCCACGTATCTCAGGCATGTAGAAAGTTGTTTAAAGCCTTTTGTGGTTCCAGAGTAAGTGACTGAACACCAGGTAGAGGAACCGGATTACAGGAGCAACGTTGCGTAAGAATACTCTGTTAAAAAGCCTCAAATAAACCAGAGTTGGCATCAGCTGGCATCTGAGGCTGACATTAACTGCACAAAGCTCACAGCTACACATGCACTCTCTTCCCCCTCATCCTCCGTCAGTCCCATTTTCCCGTTAGGCCTGGTGTCTTTGTGTTTGCACACATTGTCACTTCTCATTCCTGATCTCTCCCTTCCTGCTTCCCATCGTCTCTTACGTCTCATTATCTCCGCGTGGTCGGTAACCTAATTCCACTGACAGCTCAGCTCGCTAGGGAGGAACCGACAGGCGCGCCCAGCCCTGCTGAAATTACCTCCAAATAACATTTCCCTGTGTCCCTTCCTTTAAGCCAATATATCAATTAAGAGGTCAACGGGAGCGGGATGGCGCTCGGTGGGATGGAAGGAGCGCCGGAGAGGAATCAAAAGGGACAGCGAGTGACAAGGAGCAGAGTCAGAGGAGCGATGGAGAGATGAGCGAGGACAGAAGACGGAGAAGAAATGAAATTACTGCAGGCAAAAGAAAGACGGAGGACAACTGCTGTTTCCCTCCATCCTTCCCGTCATTAATATTTTTCCCTCAGGAGGCAGCAGAACAGGAAACCGGCTCACGATGTTTGATCGCTGCTTCGTCGTACAAGCTTCGAGGTTAAGAGTTCGACACACGGCAGCCGCATAATGTGTCGAGGCCCTCGGAGATCCTGGAGCTGTGTCTGTGATTGGTGTTCTCGTGTGTGCGATAACCGCAGACGGCATAATAACCATGAACGTAACCACGGTGACGTCCTTATCGGCTTTTGAAGCGTCAGTGTTAGCAGGATTAAACGTGGTGTGCATCTGCACCGCCGCAGGTCACACTGGACGTCAGAAGCACTTCAGTGAACTTGTTTCAGATTTGAGCCTCTGATAGCTGCGCCGTGTAGCTTGGTATGGATCCTGCAGGAAATCGAGCCGGTGCTATTTTAAGCGATGTGGAGCAGAGCTTCTGGGATGCTCCTAAAATAAGCTGCATTGTGTTTGTTGGAACAGCAAGCAGGAGCTTATTAGCCCTGACGATGACATCGGAGCCTGAACGCGACACCGCTGTGTTCCCGGCTTTGCTGATTTGTTAAGGCGGACGTGTCCACATTTGGAAGAGTGCTAAATTATCAGCTGGTGCTAACAAACAGCATGTAGCGTGCTGGTCACACTGGTCCCTGATAATCAGTGTGGTGGGGTTTGTAGCTTACACGCTGGTTCCTCCAGCCATGCCATGGTCTGCTGTTCCAGGCAAAATACAATTACTGTCCTCTTAAGTCCAACACAGTCAGTTTGCACCAAGCAGTCCACCTGCTCCCCTCATTTCGTTTCCGTGGTACTGCAGAGGATTTGATGGCTGAAATGACTCGTCCCGCTTCGTTTCTCACCCAGTCTTTAAAACTCACAGACACACTTCCTGTAAGAGAAGCAGTTTGAACGTGTTCATGACGACTAACAGCTCATTTTGCTAAAACGTGCTTCTTACACTAACTCGTCTGTTTTGTCTTTTGGTTGCTGCTCCGCCCCCCCTCCCCCTCATCAGTTACTAAGAGACGCAAAGCCCCCCTGAAGAGGCTGGACCGCCGCTGGACCCTCGGCGGTATAGTTAACCGCCAGCAGAGCAGAGGTGAACATGAAAACACACAAACACACACAGAGACAGACACACAGAGACACACACACACACACAGAGACAGACACACACAAACAGAGACACACACACACAGAAAGACACACACAAACAGAGACACACACACAGGACTTTTACATTTTGCAGTTTTTGTCATCAGATGCATGTTTCTCTGGTGACCCCATCTGATCTTGTGTGTCCCTGTATGACCCTGTGTGTCCCTGTGTGTCCCTGTGTGACCCTGTGTGTCCCTGTGTGACCCTGTGTGTCCCTGTGTCTCCCTGTGTGTCTCTGTGTCTCCCTGTGTGACCCTGTGTGTGTCTCTGTGTGTCTCTGTGTCTCCCTGTGTGTCTCTGTGTGTCCCTGTGTCTCCCTGTGTGTCTCTGTGTGACCCTGTGTGTCCCTGTGTGTCCCTGTGTGTCCCTGTGTGACCCTGTGTGTCTCTGTGTGTCTCTGTGTGTCTCTGTGTGTCTCTGTGTGACCCTGTGTGTCCCTGTGTGTCCCTGTGTGTCCCTGTGTCTCCCTGTGTGTCTCTGTGTGTCCCTGTGTGTCTCTGTGTGTCCCTGTGTCTCCCTGTGTGTCTCTGTGTGTCCCTGTGTCTCCCTGTGTGTCCCTGTGTGTCCCTGTGTGTCTCTGTGTGACCCTGTGTGACCCTGTGTGTGTCCCTGTGTGACCCTGTGTGTCCCTGTGTGTCTCTGTGTCTCCCTGTGTGTCCCTGTGTGTCCCTGTGTGTCTCTGTGTGTCCCTGTGTGACCCTGTGTGTCCCTGTGTCTCCCTGTGTGTCTCTGTGTGTCCCTGTGTGACCCTGTGTGTCCCTGTGTGACCCTGTGTGACCCTGTGTGTCTCTGTGTGACCCTGTGTGTCTCTGTGTGACCCTGTGTGACCCTGTGTGTCCCTGTGTGTCCCTGTGTGACCCTGTGTGTCTCTGTGTCTCCCTGTGTGACCCTGTGTGTCTCTGTGTGACCCTGTGTGTCCCTGTGTCTCCCTGTGTGTCCCTGTGTGTCCCTGTGTGACCCTGTGTGTCCCTGTGTGTCTCTGTGTCTCCCTGTGTGTCTCTGTGTGTCCCTGTGTGTCTCTGTAGGGGCGATCGTGGCTCAAGAGTTGGGAGTTCGCCTTGTAATCGGAAGGTTGCCGGTTTGAGCCCCGGCTTGGACAGTCTCGGTCGTTGTGTCCTTGGGAAAGACACTTCACCCGTTGCCTACTGGTGGTGGTCAGAGGGCCCGGTGGCGCCAGTGTCCGGCAGCCTCGCCTCTGTCAGTGCGCCCCAGGGTGGCTGTGGTTACAATGTAGCTGCCATCACCAGTGTGTGAATGTGTGGATGACTGGGTGTGTAAAGCGCTTTGGGGTCCTTAGGGACTAGTAAAGCTATATAAATACAGGCCATTTACCATTTCTGTGTGGCCACAAAGATCTGTGCAACAGTTCAGGGTAAATGAGATGTTAGAGGTTAATAATTTGGAGACTGTTTAAGATAAAATGACTCTTTGATGTGTGGTCCTGTCTCAGCAGCATTAAGTGGGAGCTGTTGTGTTCTTCTTTATTTCCTGAATGTGGATGTTTGTGTTAAACGTGGCCAAAGTGAACGATTAAGTCAAGTAGGGCGCTCGGTGTTTGTAATCCCTGTGAGTTAGAAGCTCAGGCTGTTCTAACACGAGTCCTTTTGTCAGGCTCGGTCTGCTGCTCGATACACTAATACAGTGTTTTTAATCACACAGCTGTAGCTGCAGCTCTCCTTTCACGTAATCTGCATCGGTGAACAACTAACACAAAAACAACAAGTGGCCCAGTATCTGCAGCATATTGGGTGGCCATGAGTCAGCTCTGACAGTAAAATCTCAAATCTTGCTCCCTCAGACGTGGAACGCTCCCCGGCTCTCGCTGAGAAGCAAAATAATTGGACCGCATTAAACAGATTTAGATAATGAAGCGCTCGGCACCCGCAGCACGAGCGCCGCGACCTCGACGGCCGCCGAGCCCCGTCATGTAAATGGTTGCGTAACAGTGTTGTTGCTTCATTAGCTTTGAAAGGCTGTTTATGACTTTCACATTTCAGTTTTAATTTTTGGATACTTGTGGTTTTGTCGAGTCATTTTTGTGTAAATGCTGAAACGTGAGAGAAACAAACAAGCGTCTCTTTGCTGAGGAGCGAGCCGGCGCTTTCTAATCCAGACTGTTGGTTTGTCGCCTTGTAGCTGTGCCGTGTTTACGGAAGCTCGTCCCGAGCCCAGAAAACAAGGGAAAACCTCTAAGAACCATCTTTGTTTCTCTTTACATTCCCCGACTGAAGCGCTGCGTCCACTCAGTCCTGGACCAGCAGGCAGCAGAGCACTGATTAATGGTTAATCCGACCCGGCTGATCTACAGAGTGGGCTCCTGATGGAAGTGTTGAAGTTGACCTAAAGCGGGCTGTAAATGAGAGCAGTATGATGGAGATGGAGTTGTACGTCACGGCCACGTTAGAGAAAGGTGGAGGTGGTCAACACGTACAAGTACCTCGGGCTGTGGGTGGACAACAACCTGGACTGGTCATGCAACACAGAGCACCTGTATAAAAAAGCCCAAAGCCGACTGTACTTCCTCAGGAGGCTGAGGTCTTTTAACATCTGCAGGAAGCTCCTGAGGATGTTTTACCAGTAGGTGGTTGCTGGAGTACTTTTCTATGCTGTGGTGTGCTGGGGGAGCAGCACAGCAAAGAAGGACTCATCCAGGCTGGAGAAACTGATCAGGAAGGCTAGCTCTGTGGTCGGCATGAAGCTGGACACTCTGGTGACAGTGGCATTGCTGGACATTATGAACAATGCTGGGCATCCTCTGCACACGGCCATAACTCCTCTCTGGAGGGGAGAGGGAGGGGAGACAGGAGGACAGAGGAGGGGGGAACAACTAAGCTGTAGTGCCTCTTCACTTCACTGTGCAATACTTTTTGTTAATATCCAACAGTGCAATAGACTTCAATACTTGAAACGTGCAGTTCCCTTGTATTCTTGTTCCTATTTATTCTATTTATCCCTTTCGTATATTTTATTTACACATGTCTCTGTATTTATATATATGTGTATATATAATATTCTGCTCACGTTCTGTAACTTGCTGTGCTCTTGGAAACAGAGGAACCCACCTGAGGGATTAATAAAGTTTTATCTTATCTGAAATGTGGTTGAGAAGCAGGGGGGCATTACTCATTCACATCTCCCACTCAGCTGGTTATGAATTCAGAGTGGGGACCTCTTTGTCACCAGCCGTAGTGGCTAATGTAGAAATATTAAAGGTTTACCGCTTCGTTCATGGAATGTGACCATACGGGTCGGCCATGTCCGCGGGAATGTCGCCTGACTACAGCTGCGTCTCCCAGAACGACCCAACGATCCAATGGAAAGTGTGAAAGTGGGGCAGCGGCCCAATCTGTAGCCTGCTTTTAATCACACAGACCTCTGCAGCGTGGATGAGTCACTCGACTAGCTGTCGCCACCAGAGAACCAAGCTGCTCTCTAATTCCTGCTGTTTAAGACACCTTAGCTTTTTAGCTTTTATTGCTCGGTGGTGTCGTTCCAATTTTGTGATGTTGGTACACACCGTGCCTCCATTAAAACGTTTCTGGGTGGTGAAAGTAAAATGTGAAAGTCCCAGACACACAGTGAGGCTGCTGGTGCGACGCTGGTTAGAAAGTTGTTGCTTGAACTGTGGAGGATAGTGTGCGAGCAGGGCGTGTCAGCTACAGCTGTTAAACGCTGCTTTACCTTAAAGAGCAGACTCTTCACAGGAAATTCCTGTTGTCTCTTCAATGACCGGCTTTCCCAACCACCATCAGGCGCATTAGTGTGGACGTAGCCTCCGTTCAGCTGTTAATCAAGGACCCTGATGGAAGCAGCTTTTGTGGTGTAACAGGACTCCAGAAGTCAGTTTGTCAGCGACTGTGAAGATCTGTGTTATCAGTGAATCCCGAGCTTTCAGGTGTTTACAGGGCATTAGCATTGCTAATTTGACATGACGGGGCGACCTGTGGTCAACACAGTTGACCCCGTAAACCCCGTCTGTCACCCTACATGAACTGGAGTAACCACAAAAACATCAGAGCGATGGGAACAGCAGGTTTTATATGAGAGGCACACGACCTGTTCCCAGCATACGGCCCAAAAATATGAGAATTGAATCAACATCGATCCGCTACAAAGATGTTTTTGATCTGTCCTGCAACATATTTAGTAACGGAGGCAGAGAACGAGCCTGCTGAGGTTTACTGGCTGAAAAAGTCGTCCCGATGACGTGAGGTCACAGACGAGTTTCACGGCAGCGAGTGCTCCTGGCTGCAAACAGGCTAAAGACTCCTGGACCGGTCGCCTTTTTTCCACCATCAGAAACAGTCTCAGCATTAAAGCTGGAGCAGTGCTCACTGTAGTCATGTCAGACTTCAGCTCTCGTGGCTTTTTCGTCCACCGCCGCTCTCGACTGCGGCCCAACGTCCTAGGCGCTTTATGCTGCCTGGCAACCAGATGGTTTGGGTCTGCTACCAGGAGCTGCAGAAAGCTGAGTGAAGCAGAGAAAAGTGTGGAAAACTTGGGTTATTCCACCGAATGGAGCCCCCACCCCCCCGTCCCCGGCTGCTAATGCGTTCCTGAGCTAGAGCTCCATGCAGACGCTTCAGATGTAGTTTGATTTAGCAAAGGACAAAAACAAAGACTGATCACAGGAGATTTATGTTCTCTCAGGATGCAATTTGCTAATGGGAGAACAGTCGCTCTCACACCCTGCTGACACAGCTTCACTGGAGACCTTGACTCAAATTCAATTACAGCACATCTCCTCACGTTGATTCATCCTGACACAAAGCCAGGTCAGGGTGTCTCGACCTGTCGGTGGTGGTGGATCAGCTGCTGACGGCAGGGGTGGGGCGTCCCTGAGGTTTATCACCGCGCTGTTGTTTGCAGCACTGATTTACAGTCCCGCCCACTCGGCTCGCGGCTCTGTGACGCCAGCAACGCGTGAATTCGGAGACGGACGCACGTGTACAGCTCACGAAAAAACAAACACAGATGAGATTAATTGAATCTTTCATCTTTTCTTCCAGATGAAAGAATTAGAGACAACAAACTGATGCACACGCTCGGCTCGAGACGACCATAACAACATTTATCAGATGCCTCAGATCTGACTCTTGCAGATGGACAGAGAATAACAAGTGCTCACCTCCACACCCAGTGTGTTTTTGAGTGCAGGTTCTGGGTCAGTAATTCCACTCTGCTGCACATTAGTGGACCAAAGACGTGAGCTTTAAAGGGAGCGCTCGTGCTGGGTGAAACAGGAAAGGCTGTGACGTAGGTTTACTTAGGTTTATCCTAACAGGGTTTTAATTGTAGTAAAATACTGTAATTCTGTAATTATTAGGAAACCGTGATCTGCGTTACAACAGCTGCCATTTGTATTCATGCATCAGACGTGCAGCAGCCTCGTGACCACCATCAGCACCAGCTGCTGATTCTGGATCTTCTCTCTTTGAGAGCTGCGTGGTAATGATTCTGAATCTGGGTTCATGTAGCCTGAGCGAGGCCTAAAGGTTCCGCCTGTAGAGGGCGCCGTTTGCTATTTATGTGCAGGTCAAAGACGAGAGGTTCGTGTTTCTGTTGGTGTGCAAATGGTGTCTAAAGTGGGTCACACTGACCGTTTTCTCCCTCTGAGATGGTGTAATCTACAGCAGTGTGAGACTTTTCAATGATCTTGTTTCCTCTCTCCTTTACCCCCGCAGAGGAGAAATATGTGACGATCCAGCCGTACACCAGCCAAGGAAAAGACGAGGTGAGCTTTGAGAAAGGGGTCACCGTGGAGGTCATCCAAAAGAACCTGGAGGGCTGGTGGTACATCAGGTGGGTAAACGGTGCACGCCGAACCCGCACATTTCACCGCGAGGCTGTTGCTCGTCGTTGTCTCGGCGATCAGAGCAACAATTTCCTGGAGCTCTCATTTGCATAATGGTGCCGAGAAGAAAGCGTTAACATATGGTGGCGTCAGGGCCGCCTGCGTGTTTGCACGTGTGTGTCGTTTACTCAGCCGGTGTGTATTTCCTCACAGTTGTTCAGTTCCTCGAGTCCCCGGGCGCTCCGCTGCACAGCTGATTACTATCACATGACGCCTTGTGGAGCCTCACATACCAACGCGTACACAAACATGGATCCAGAGCTCCTGTTTGAGGCGCGTACGCGAGCTGCCGTGTGTGCACTTGTCATGTACACTGACTGCTTTCCTAACAGCTTGTTCGCTCTTTGGCACTCCCTGCAGTGCACACAGAGTCATTTCTGAGCACCGTGTCCAACAGAAAATAATCCTGCAGATGCATGTCTGAGTCACGCTGCTCTCAGTGGGCCCTTCTTTAAACAGCAAAGTCCATGCATGAAGCTTTTTTAGTTACGGGGACTCCTTGTGGTCGCAGTTGGGAGTCGTGAAACGGAAAACAGGGAACAGTCGCGTCTCTTCTGTGCCGGGGAAATGACTCGGAGTTTCATTTGGAGCATTACTTATTGTTTCACTAAGCACTCTGAAATTACTCGTTTAGCATAACAATGTCTGCTTAAATGTGGGGAAGCAGCATCTCTTTGCATCTATTATGCATTCTGTTTACTTGCCTTTGGCTACTCACATCACCAGAATTAAAATTGTGCCTTTATTGCAACACACAGGATCTGACTCGGTGTGATTTCATGCATTTTTAAACACTCGAAATTGTGGAATTTTTCAGTTATTTATTAACTGTACGTATAGCTCATAGTGGCATCATGCACTAAGTTAGGATGGTACTCGAGTGCATTAAAGCTCTGCTGCGATACATTCAGTCATTACTCAAATCACACGTTTTTTTCTGAGTGTATTAAAATGCGCTAAATGAAGCTCCCATGCTGAGCTCATTACACTACTGTTACTACACAGCTGCAGTAGGAAACAGTAGCACACACACACACATGTATGTACCAAGGTGTACTGAATGCTGGCTCATTGTTGGGAGCAGAGCAGTGATGGAGAGGGAAGACCTGGATGTCAGCTGGAGTTTTAAAAAATGGCTTCAGCGAGAGATTCAATCAGTGTTAAAAAATAACATCATGATCTAAAGTCTAAATGAATTCAATTAATTTCAGTTTTATTTACACAGCGCCAAATCACAACAGCAGTCACCTCAAGCTGCTTTATATTGTAAGGTAGACCCTACAATAATACATACAGAGAAGAACCCAACAATCATATGAGCAGCACTTTGGCGACAGTGGGAAGGAAGAACTCCCTTTTAACAGGAAGAAACCTCCGGCAGAACCAGGCTCAGGGAGGGGCGGGGCCATCTGCTGTGATTGGTTGGGGTGAGAGAAGGAAGACAGGATAAAGACATGCTGTGGAATTCACTCCCGAATGCAGGCTCAAAGTGCTTTATGTTGGAAAATTGCAATATTAAATAAAGAGAGCGCTCCCTCCACCTGTGAGCAAGAACCTGGCAATAGCAGGAAGAAAGAACTCCCTTTTAGCAGGAAGAGAACCAGGATCAGGGAGGGTCAGGGGAAACTAATAAGAGTGAAACCTGAGATTTTGCAGTGGGACAGCAGGTCACTCCTGGCACAGTCTACTTCCTGCTCTGTGCTGTATGGAAAGGGCAGCTTTACCTGATCCTGAGTTCAATCATAATAATGAAGGGAACATAAACTCGATGTCATATTAAACGTTCTGTCTTTATGTGTTTGGGCTGCAGGTATTTAGGGAAAGAGGGCTGGGCCCCGGCCTCCTACTTGAAGAAGATTAAAGAGGATTTCTCCCCACGGAAGAAGACGCTGACGGGCCCCGTGGAGATCATCGGAAACATCATGGAGATCAGCAACCTGCTGCAAAAGAAGTCTGTTAGCGAGAAGGACATCCAGACAGACGGAGAGGGCGGAACCACGCCGGAACGCCACTTCTCCAAGAGCGAGATCAGCCTGCCGATGCCCTCCGAAATCAACGCCGCGACAGGCCGCAGGCTGAGCGCGGGCCGGGACACCAACAGCCCGTGTCTCGGAATAGCGGCGAGCGCCGCCCTGAATGAGAATAAAGCGAGAGGCGAGCCGGGCTCCCCGGCTGTTGCAAGAGTGGCACCGCACAGAGTGGAAATCGGTGAGAGAACGTGTTGTGTGTAAAGGTTAAAGTTCAGCCTAAAGCTTGAATGCAACATTAAGACGTGCCCCTTTCCATTTGTGCAGGATTCGGCGCCGTAGGTAAGCTACACGGCTGCTGCATCTAACCGCGCTCTGTCACACTAACCTTTGATGTGATAACATGCTCGGTGTGTGTTTCGGCCTCGGTTTCACTCACAAACTAAGAACCTGTGGTCAGTTTGTGGTTACTAAGACATCGCTCGGCTCCACCCATCCATCCTTTGGGACGAGCCCATTTTTTAACAAGCCGATGCTCCACACATGGCGTCCAAAGCCAGGACAAAATTAGTCTTTCAAATCTTACTTTTGCTTGTCTTTAAATATGTTGTCCTTTCCAGTGTGACATAATTCATCTTAGAACTAAATGTTTGGTGTTTGTTTGTTACAGCGAGTGTCAACCTTTTACTTTGGTCGTTTTTCTGAATTATTCTTAATAAAATCTTATTATTTTTAATCAGGGTCTCCTAATCTGCGGCAAAAACCTCCCCCCAGAAGAGACGCCAACTTGGTAAGACTCCAGTTTGGCTTCTGCTTACTGACAAACCCAGAGCGCCTTTCCTGCGTGCTCACTGATGTTGCCATGCTTCTGCTGAAGTACACGTGATCACAGTCGAGACTCTTCTTGTGTTTAAGAAGACAGCTGCAAAATCTTTCAGTGCAAGGATAAATACCAATAAATAATATAAAAAGAGAAAAAATCTAATTGGCTCTCAGACTACTGCAGGAGTTGCATAGCAACCATTGAGGCACATTTACACATTTTCAGCATGTCTGCGATTGTCCCGGTATCGCACGTGCACACCTTACATTTACCCTCATATTTATATATCATGATTGCATGCAGTCATAAATCACATCTTATGTTTTATGTGTGTCAGATACAGGATGGCTCAACGTGAGCGGCTCACTTCTCTCTCTCTTTGCTGTACAGGGCTTCCAGTTACCCAAGCCACCAGAGCCCCCTGCTGTGGAAGCAGAGTATTACACTATAGCAGATTTCCAGTCCTCGATCTCTGATGGCATCAGTTTCCGTGGAGGACAAAAGGCTGATGTAAGAGGCCAGATCTACAGTGCTGTCGCTCAGATGAGACGGGGCCTGTTGAATACGTATGCAGACTGAGTGCTCCCCCGATAGGCAGGAAAGCTGAGGCACAAAGGAGACGACCTTGGATACTGTGTGTGAAAGTGATGACGTAGACAGAATTCACTGTGCAGGATTCAGGATGAGGGTGGAGATAATGACAGAGATTCCTTCAGGGTTTTTTTATTAAGTTATACTGAGGTGATTCTTTTAACGACTGCAGTAACAGATGCATCATTGATCTTATTACAGTATTACTCAGTCTTTAATCACTAGTATGTAGCAAACACATATATATATATATATATATATATATATATATATATATATATATATATATATATATATATATATATATATATATAAGTGAGTATTTGTTCCAGTAACTCTTTACTCCTTGTTGTGCAGGTAATAGAGAAGAATCCTGGAGGCTGGTGGTACGTGCAGATTGGGGAGATGGAGGGCTGGGCCCCCTGCTCCTACATCGACAAGCGCAAAAAGCCCAACCTCAGTCGTAGGTCCAGCACACTGACCCGCCCCAAAGTCCCTCCTCCAGCTCCACCTGTCAAAAAACAAGAATCTGAGGAGGCTCCGCCTTCTGCTAACTCTTCCTCCAAAACCACAGAGGTGCCTAGCAGGGCTGTGTACGAAGAACCTGAATATGATATTCCTGCAGTCGGATGCGAAGGTGAGCCTGAACCGGATCCCCTGAAGGACGAGCGTTCCCGCGATGTGAAGATCAACAGTGTGGTCAGCGACAAGTACAGCAGCTCCCCTCCATCCTGCAAGGCCTCCCCTCCCGTTTGCAAGGCCTCCCCTCCTTCCTGCAAGGCCTCCCCTCCTTCCTGCAAAGCCTCCCCTCCCGTTTGCAAAGCCTCCCCTCCCGTTTGCAAGGCCTCCCCTCCTTCCTGCAAGGCGTCCCCTCCTGTCTGCAAGGCGTCTCCAGTTTTCGCCCATCGAAGAACCTCCTTCAGGTCTGTAGAGGAGGTTGCTAAGGAGGAGTGTATCTATGAGAATGATGGCTTCAGGCCGAGCGGCGGTGTTGAAAGAACCCTGACTAAAGGTTCCAGTGAGCCTAACTCCCCACGGAGCTACCATTCCTCCACAGTCCCAAGAAAACCCTCCGGATCTTCGCCTCTACCTGGCAGGCCCATGAAAACCATGACACCAGAGATGAGTCGGAGAAGCCAGACCCTGGGCAGACACATAGATATCAGCTTCAGATCCCAGGATAACAGCCCTCACTCGTCATCAGATGAATTGAGCAGAGGCTCCAAGAAAGGCCCTGTCTTCAACCGGGAGGTGGAGCAGAGAATAGGCCAGAGCCCCTCCACCAGGCCCAAGCCTTCCGTCAGACCTAAGCCCCTTTTGACCAAATCAGAGCCCCAGAGTCCAGAGAGGATGGACATCACCTCTCTGAGACGACAGCTGAGGCCTACGAGTCAGTTTAGACATAGCCTCAAACCTTCTCGCGGGGAGGACTCTGAAACAGCTTCTGTTATATCATCAGAGGACTCGGTGTGTTCACGCAGTACCTCAGATCTCTCCTCTGTTTACTCCAAAGGAAGCCGTGGTGACTCCGATGTGGAGGGCCCCAATCTCTACCGCTCCGTGGACGCCTATAAGAAAGTCCAGGACTCTGAGATCAGTTTTCCAGCTGGGGCTGAGGTCGAGGTTTTGGAGAAACAGGAGAGTGGTTGGTGGTACATCCGTTGGAGCTCCGAAGAAGGCTGGGCTCCCTCATACTACCTGGAACCTGTCAGACAAATGGGCGACGGTGGTGGCTTAGACGGACACGGGAGTGGTGGGAGTAAGTCCAACAGCCTGGAGAAGAATGAGCAGCATGTTTTGGCCCTCAATAACATTAATATTCAGGGCCTGACGCAGCAGCATCAAGGCTTGAGGAGGAACTCCCCACCGATTCCTTCCAAGCCTCCCGGCGGCTTCTCGAAGCCATCTGGGATGGTTAATGGAGGGGTGAGGATGAGGAACGGGGTACGCCAGGTGGCGGTGAGGCCTCAGTCTGTATTTGTCACCACTACGCAGCCAGCCAAGGACACGCACTACACAACAGGGTCCTTGAGAAGGAACGAGTCGCTGGGCAGGAGCGATCACTATGGTTCTGGTTCTGCCACTCTTGGAGTTCGCCGAAATGCCTCATTCAGCACCGTGCGGCCACACGTAGTTGTTGAAAGCCAAACGAGGCCTGCCGAACGCTCCAGTCTGTCTTCGGGGAGCGCGTTCAGCACAAGCAATGTCCAAGACGCCCTGAGCAGAGTTAACCAACGCAACGGTATCCCCGTGTCCACGGTCAGACCCAAGCCCTTGGAGAAGAGCCAGCTGATCCACAACAACCTTGGCAGGGATGTGTATGTGTCCATTGCCGATTACCGTGGCGACGAGGAGACCATGGGGTTCACAGAGGGAACCTGTCTGGAGGTGTTGGAGAGAAACCCCAATGGGTGGTGGTACTGCCAGGTGCAGGACAGCCTGGTTCCCCGCAAAGGCTGGGTCCCCTCTAACTACCTTGAGCGGAAAAAATAAAGGCAAGCCTACATCCGTAGCCACGCCCACCCCCAGCCCCCATTCCCCGCTCTAGGCCCATGGGCGGCGGCATCACTCCTTGAGAATGTTACCCGCAATCTCCCTTAAGCAATATGTCCTTGAAAATTGACATACGGTCAGACTGTGTAAGGAGAAAGATGTTTTAATCTGATAAAAAAGGACACTTTTAGTGCTGGTTTACTAAAATTTATACGAAAGGAGTGGGAAGATTTTCAATATTTTACCTGGAAGCAGAGACAGAAACATGGAATTGGCCACACTGGTTGAGGAAGTTCAAGGTGGATGCTGTGTCTGACACGTAAACTGGTCTAACTGGGAGCGATGACCTCTTAAAGAGGTTTGTGTCATGTAACACAGAAGCGGAGAAGAGTAGTGGCTACGCTCATCCTGCCCATCACTGACTACGATGGCCAATAAGTGCCTTTTGTATTTGGTCACCTGAACGAAGGTTCTAAATGGTGGATGGCAAACCAGTAAATCAACCAAATCTTTACAGAGTGCCATAGTCCTATGAACACCACCGAGAGCGTTTCTATACAAAGTTACGAGTTCGAAGCGCAAAGTTTGGATTTAGACGTCTTCAGTTCGATAAAGAAAGAAAAGCACGAGTGAAGGGACTCAAGTTCCCAGAAGATTTATTTGTTTTAAGCCACAAAGTCATCAAACAAAGACGATAGTTGAATCTCATCATCACAACTTCTCTTTAGTTTGTTTCTGTTAACGTGTCTCGTGCTGATGCAAGTCTTCCTTAGAGAATTATTTCTGCTTTCTTGTGACATCTGTTTTCCACCGACAGCCTTGAATTGGACGAGCCAAAGCTCGACTCTGGCAGAATAGACGGCTGACGCTCGGTTTCTGTAAACTGTTTCTATCAAAGATACCACAGAAATATCTTAGGGTCATTTTTCCTGGATGTAGTCATCTGGGAGAACAAATTTATTTAAAAAAACCAACAAACCTGTGAAACTTGAAAAATACAGAACAAGCAACGGAACAATGAGACCTCATACAAGCGTAAGGATAACCTCATTGCACAGCTTTTAGCTCCAGGAACTAATGATTTTGTGTATATTGTGTTGTCATAATGCAGCTATCGAGGTGATGAATTGCAAGCATACTGGAAACGTAGTGAAATAACTTTAATCCAGGGATTTATTTGAATAGATTAGAGGCCAAAATGTGATCGAACCAAAGAGAGATATCACTTCATTGGCAGTTTTGGGGATTTTACTGTTTACTTACGGTACAAATGGTAACACACTTTCACCAAACTGCCTAAAACGAGGTTTCTATCAGTATCTGGAAGCACTTGAAGGAAGTGAACAGTTAATTGTAATATCAGATATTGCTGTGCAGTATTGGGATTTAAACAGAGACTAGAGTAGCTATTTTATTGTTATTAGCGACTGTTTGAAATGTGACGGTAGAAATAATTCTTCCAAAAGGAGTCAAAGTTCAAAATTCTGATGGCTGATGTTCAAGACTGCTGAAATACATTTTCTAACGAACACAAACTTCTCATTATGTTCCTGCTGGACAGTATCATAGTACTAAACAAAGTGCAGTACCTGCTAGATCGCAGTTATCTATTTTAACAAAACCATATTTGTGTTTTTGTGGTCTCTCTGTGATCGCACACCGACAATAACGAGGAACGAAGTGGTTCTGTTTTGTGAGTTAGTGCACTTTAAAAACTGCTTTTATGGTGCATTAATGTAAAGATGCAGTAAAAACTCAGCATGTTATTTATTGAATGTTTTTTTGTAATTATTTCATATTTTCCAAACAGGAGGATGAGTTCTGCTCTCAGTGGCAGGAGATTTGGTCAAATTGGAGACCTCTTGTGGTAATTGAAAGGTACTACAACGTGACTTTGAGGCTTTCCTGCAGTCCTACCTCAGTGCAATAAGAAATGCGCTGCTGGTCAGTGAGTCTCCACAAAAACTGTTTTGTTTTTAATCTTAGTGCAGCTAAAACTGTTTTATTGCACATTTTGTTTCGCATTGGGCAAGAATTTAGTTTCTGAAAAGTGATTTTTTTTTTTTTCTCGATGCTGTTTGCTGCAGCTTTAGCAAATCATGGGCACTTCCTTCATCTTTATTGTGCTTTACATAATGCCTGATAAAAGCATATTTATAATGAATAGTATTATTATTTCCACAGTTCCCCTCATTCAAACAGAAACCATCAGCGTGTCCTGTGATGGTAATAAAATCACTGATGTATGGACCTATAAATAAAACCAGTAACCGTCTGGGTGCTGACAGGCCCCATCCTTTGAGACGAAGGCATTATGTAAATGTGTCGAATCACTCTGAACATTTCGCTCCAGCACATTCATTATTATTATTATTATTATTATTATTATTGCATATCGCTTTGTTTGATTGAGCTGAACTTACTTGTAAGGGAATCGTTCTGTGTCGAGCCTGCGTTTAGCTGTGTAGCATCTTTATTCATGCTTTTACTTCGTTTTTCTTATTTCCTCTTTTTTTCTTTCGTTCTGAACCCACGAGGAAATGTGCAATAGATTAAAAAAAAGAAGAAGAAAAAAGACAAAAACGCTTCAGCGAAAGGAGGAAGGTCATAGTGGGCCGGGAGTAGATGTTCCCGGTCAGGCTGCCGGTCACGAGGCTTTTGCCGTCTTTTCCAGTGTGTCATGTTTAAGTCTGTTTTCAGAGAGCAGGTGTGCGAGGTCCTGACGTCAGAGCACTCGTCGGACCAAAGCAGCGACGTGATGAACTAACACGAGGATGTCTGCTCCCGCGACCTCCGTCAGCTGACCCATTCTGTAGTGACATTACAGCCATCTGGGATCTTCGTCACAGACGTAGAGTCGCTGGCCCACCATCATCGTCATCGTCGGGGGCCCTCAGCTGTCACGTTTGTGCCTGAATGGAATTCTTTGATTGTTTCTGTGTTGTTGTTTTCTTCCTCCTCTCCCTCTGGACTGTGTCCTCTGCCCACCTGCTTGGATGCCTCTTTTGACATTTACCCCCACGGCTGTCAGACCAAGTCGGGCCTTTTCGTCAGCGATCACCGCGGCGATGTTGACCTTTGGGACCGCCGGCTGGCAAAGTGACGTCGACGCCAGCGTCTCGGCGGTAAACAAAACACCGGGGAGACGAACGCTCCTTCAGGCCGTTTCAGTTCAATCCATCAACTTCCAGGATAAACACCAAAAAGAGAAAATCCTGTTTTTCCCCCCACGCTGTCTTTGCAGAGAGATCGTGCTGTTCGCAGAGGCCGACGCGCAGAGCCCGGTCCTTTTTGGGGGTCGGCTGACTTTGTGTTTAACTCCACGTTTAAATTCGCAGATTTCTGAAACTCGTTTTCAGTCAAAGCTGGAAGCCAGTTCTGAAACCTTCTTACTGTCACTGCTGACCGCCGAACAGACACGCCCGTCTGTGAGCCGTCTGTTTTCAGCCCGTTGCCTCCGCTCACGTTGGGTTTCTGACTTTTAGACGAAGAAACACAAAAACTGAAAGAGCTCAAAGCTGACAGCTCCGAAACTCCCAGATCAGCATTTGTTTGCTGAAGATGAAATTTCTCAGCAGGTCACTGGACAAGAAATAGTCCCTTTAAATCCCTCATCAGGGCTAAATCGCCAAAAATGTTTATCACGATATATATTGAAAATTTGCAATAACGATAACTGGCGATATAATTGACGCGAGACAAAATACTTCACAACTCCACAACTTTGATGGTTTTTTGCACTAATAATGTGTTTTCACTTAAACAAGCAGCTGTTTTTCATCTGCATTAAAGCTACATAAACTTGTCACAGTGCAAACTCCTCGCTGACAGTTTAACCAAAAGGCGTTTCCAGTGGAAACTGGCCGACAGATCCTCAGCACAACCATGTATAACATCCACAGAACTTAAAAAGAGGTTATACACACGATACGGTAACATTATGTTGAAGCGCAGTACTGTGCTAAACCAGTTCCACCACTGGAGTTGCAGCATTTTTATAAACCAGTTCTGGTTCAACTGTTTCATTCAACGATCCGCTTTCGCCCTCCTCTCTCCGTCGCCGCCGTGCTTTTTCCGCCATGTGCGTATGAAAACAGGCACTGCGCATGCGCGTGTTACCCGCGTTCTATCGCCATATTTTCTTATCGTTGCCCAACGTTATACCGGTATTACCGTGAACGGGATGATGTGGCCCAGCCCTGTCCCTCACTTCCTGCTTTTCCAGCGTTTCATCAGTGCTGTCAGTCTGCTTTCACTCTCAGCAGCAAAGTGAAATTAGTCAGAGTATAATACGTTGGAGTTTCGCTCTTTAATAACAGCTCTGTTACCGTCCGCTACTTTATGCCTTTCACCTGCAGAGCTCAGCAGGCGTGTCCACGCCAACACGGTTTCCGCGAGTCTTACAGGAAACGCTCGAGTTTTCCATCATCTTCCCGGAGGTCAGCGGAGCGAGACGGCTCCGCTTGGCCGTCTGATTCCTCGCTCTCTCTTTTTATTCTAACAAACGGACAGCGCCTCCCGGGCGCCTTTCCAGTTTTGTGTTTTTGATTCACCTCCGTCTCCTTCCTCGACACAGCCGAGCCGCTGAGATCACAAAGATGCCCGACAGGGTGGAGTGTGTGTATGTGCGTGATGAGATGGATCGTTTGCAGGTGTGTTGGAGAAAAGAGAAGTCGGAGGTCAAGGAGGGGTTTGTAGGATGCAGGCAGACAGACGACGGATCAGATAGCGGATCCGAGGAGACGAGGCGGCTGGGAGGTGAGAGGAGCTCTGCTTTGATTGGAGGGAGATGAACAATGATGTCTTCAACAGGAAGCCCGTTTTATCAAACTCCTTCTAACCTTTCTAGAAACCTCACACCTAATGAGCTCCTCTCCTGAGCCGAGCTGTGAAGTCTCATTACGTCAAACACAGTTTTAATTGAGCCGCTTGAAGTTTCCAAAGTCTGTGAGAAACGACTTGATGGTGCAGCAGCTTCTCTCGGCCTCCCCGCCCGTCTCCAGGTGAACTTCAGAACTGGTCCCACCTCTGATATGAGCTCCTGCTGCTCACATCTCACGCAGCCCCGAGGGTGAGAGCTGAGCCGGCTGGTGGAAAACAGTTTTCAGAATAAGACAAAGGCTTCATGTTTTGCTTTATTCTCTCGTGTTTTTGTTGAGAAAATAATTGAATGTTGTAAAAAGGGTGAGGCGGGATTTGAAGGGCTCGCTGGCTTCTAATGAAACGCCTTCAAGCTGTAAACGAAAGACATAAAAAAGTTTCAGAAGACGGCGGCAGGCAGAGCGATGGTGGAGGAGATGAAGGCAGGTTGGATAGGAAAGTTTCAGTAAGTGTGTGGGAGCAGGTGAGGTGCATGTAAGGGGGGCTTTGTAGGTTTTTAATTAACGTCTGGTTGCTTGTTAGAGCGTGAGAGCAGAGATGAGCCGCGGATGCTGAGGGCTCATTCTCAAGCAGGTAAAACAGAAGTGCAGAAAATCAGGCGATGCAGATTTTTTATGTCACTCTGAAAACTTCCTCATGCAGTCGCAGCCGTTTGAGATGCCAGCAGGCATCAGCAGGAGCTCCAGAGGAGGAGGCTGTGTCGAGGAAGGAGGTGCGCCGCTGTGCCTCGGCGGCGCTTTCTTTGTCTCCGTTTGAATCCCCGTTTCCAGTTAGCACAACAGTGTGTCTTAATTAACCTCAGCCAGTCTGATAGTATTTCAGCACTAATGGCTTCCCAATAAAGAACGCCGTGGCTTCCTGCGTGGGAGACGGCGCCCAGCGCTGTGGCCGAGGCGAGCTGTCACAAGTGACTGATGCTGAGTGACAGCTGAAGTAGTATTTTAATGGCAAAGGCGGTGCCTGTTTTTCTTTAACTCACCGGTGCATTTGTAGAGTAGAATCTGTCCCCACCCTGCTGTGGAAAGCAGTGTGCCAAAACAAAGCGCCCGTGGAGCTCGCGATCTCGCGATCTCTTGATTCTGACAAAAACAGTTCGTTACCAGCACGTCAGTAACAACTACAGGCCTCGAGTTGGACCAAAGGAGGTGCTACTCTTTCACTCTCTCTTTTCTTTCTGCTTTTATTGCCATGTTTTTAAGCAGGTTCAAACTGTAGCGCATGACTTTAGTCGCCCCCTTCTGGCAGTGAGAGTAACTGCACACTGACAGAAGGAAAAGTTGCAAACGACAAAGATTTTACTTTGTGCGTAAAGGCTTAAAGGTCCTTTTTGTAACTGCTCTCTTCAACTGTAACTAAATGTGTCACCACCAGGGGGCAGCATTTAACAGCGCGCGAGTTGAGATGTTTCCAGATGTTTGCTGCTGTTTCATTGCTGCTGTTGGCCTCCCACTAGACCACCATTGTGTTCCATACGCTGCACCACCCCGTGGAGGGACACGCCGCCCTCGTTTTCCCCACATTTCATTGTGGTTAATTTTGGAAGGTTTTAAATTGTATTTACTCGCAGGAATTTACAACAAGTACCTTTAATGAGTGCGCTTGGATTTATAACAAAGTCGTGCACTGCAGCTTTAAGCCCTGCAGAGTCCTTGTTTTCAAAAGATATGCCATGAAGAGCCAAATGCAGCTTTATTCAAGACCCCCCCCACACACACACACACACACACACACACTAATGAGAGCAAACACAGTCCAGATCCCTTCCTGATTGGAGACCTTCTGCACATGTGCATTACTTGTGAAAACAGGACATTTTCTTATCTACGGTCTCATTTTGACGAGTCTTGTTCCTTTTTTTGTATCTTGTACATGTTTACATTGTATCTCGCATTGCCCAAAAGAGAAACAATATTAAATGTATAATCTTTGTTGTTTTAAACCGCCTCCTGTTCATTTGTCTCACGTGTTTCCACAGATAAGCAGCAGCAGACCCCCCCTCCCCTCTACAGAGTTTGTGACAGCAATATTACTGATTGAGACATTTATCTCCATTCGCCTTATTGTGCAGGCCAGATTAAGTGAGTTTAGATGTGCAGGAGCAGAACGATGCAGCTGGTTATATATAGCGAGAGTTGTGAGGAGGCTGAGAGCGGCGAATGAAGACGAACGAGCGCTCGCAGCCTCAGTTCCTCGCTAAAGAGCGGAGACACAAATTTTTGTTCTCCTGCATCCAAACGTGTGCTCGGAGAGATTTATCACTTCTGTCCAAGGGAATGTGAAATATATGCTCACACCTCTCTTATAGGAGAACACAGGTGTTCAGCAGGAAGTGCAGGTCAGGCCGTCACTCAGGAACATGAAATAGAAAGTTCAGATCTCTCCCCTCATACGTTACTGCTCACTGTCAGCTGTTACATTGTAATAAGCGAGCTTCCTCACGCTTGCTACACCACGCGCCGTTTTTAATAGGGGAACCTTCCTCCTGACAAGTGAAGCCTTAACCCTGCGGTCTTTCTCATGCCCACCAGGCTCGTGTTACTCACATATAGTAGCGTCTTAGCAGGGTCCCCGGGGGGTTTCGGATCCACCCCTCAATGCATTCTGGGTAAAAGACAAATTGCATAAAAAGCTGTGCTGATTTATGTATTTTGGGGTTTTTCTTGACACTTTGCAGAGCAGCAAGCTGGAGATATGAGTTCAAATATTTACATAAACATACATACATACATGTGCATGTATGAACATGTATGCTACATATTTGGGAACCCGTGACCTCCACACTCTTGATTTGTTCCAGTTGTAAATTTGCAGCTAAGCTAATGTGGAAAAAGTCTCAGTGCTGCAGAGAGGTGTATCATTTAGAAAAATAATCCAGCTGGTTGGTTTTTAAATTACACACCTGGGATCCAGCCTCCTCTGTTATGTCTCGCCATGCTTTAATTGGACCTGTTTCCACTGCTTCGTGCACATATTTCATAAAACTGGATGGTAAAAAAAAAAAAAACTTGGAGTTTCCATTGTTCTGTAAAGAATTGCATTTCTGGGCAGCACAGACTGTGTTTCACCAAAGTACAAACAGTACCAAACAAAGCCGCGTAGCCTGATTGTGGCCACAAACTCGCCAAAAGCCAGAAAAACATCAAAATGCTCCGACAGATCCTCCAGGAAGTTACCCAGAGACGCATCAGCGCTGACATCTGGAAAGTCTAGAGGCCTTAAATTTAAGAGGTACTGCAGTCGGGTGATAATTCAGTTTATTAGTCATGTAAAAATCATCTTTTGTACGCTTAAACTAAAATCCTTCGTGGACACTTTCATTAAAACATTTAAATGTATAAATCTAGATGTTTACTCACCTTTTATAGACTCCATTGTCGTCTTCAGCAGATGTTATCACTTGACCTAATTTGTCAAGGTGATGCAACTTGTCACAGTTTTTACCTGAAGTGATTCTTCTAGTCCAGAGGTGGGGAGCTCGAGGGCCGGTGTCCTGCAGGTTTTAGATCCAACACAGCTGATTTAAAGTTCTCCAGAGGCCTGGAAACGAACTAATCATGTGATTCAGGTTTGTTGACCCAGGGTGAGCTCTAAAACCTGCAGGACACCGGCCCTGGAGGCCTGGAGTTCCCCACCCCTGTTCTAGAATAGCCCACGTTTGCTGAACACACTTCCCAAACATCTCCACTAGATGGCTCTGTTGGTCCGGCCTCGCCTCAGACATTTTCATATGAATAAAGCTGCAGATTCAAACTCAGTATTTATGCTGAGATTGAGTCTTGAAATGAAGTTCTATTATGATCAGGCCTTTTTAGCCATTCTCTACATTAAACCTAATAATGCTGGATGTTAACATCGACAGACGATGATCTCTGACGGAGTTATGAATGCTCCATTGAACAACGATCAGTATTAAAAGTGCTCGTCTGGTTTATTCTTTTCATGACATTATCACTCATCTTCTTTATATTCCCGACTCGCTTCTATTATGCGGAGATGTCTGTGAATCAGATGCAGACAGATGCTATCTGGCAGCTCTGAGCAATACATCTGGATGAGGTGCTTCATGAATTTATAGTGCAGTCGTTTTGGTGGAACAACTCGAGTTTTAAAGTAGATCTGCTGAATCCCCAGCCTGTCGCCGTGAAGCTCCCCAGCAGCTGGGCCCGAGGCAGAGGCCGAGGAACACGAATCCACAGAGCGCTGGGCCGGTAACCGGCTTAGCCCTCCGAGAGCCGAGGGGAACACGGCACCGACATCTGTGCCCGAGGCCAAGCCATGAGGCAGGATGTGTCAAAGGTCAAGTGTTCACAAACACTACTAAAACTCCACTTAGAAAGTCCGGTGTTACCTCCAACTTTCTCTGGAGCTTTGGACCTCATCCCACAGCATCCTCCGGCACATATAGAGCTGTAGTAATACTTGAGTTTCCTTATTCCTACTTTCTTGTTATTATTTGACTGCAAAAGAACTACAAGGAAAGGACTGCTGGCTAAAAGATGATTAAAAGGGCCCAAACAGAGTTGTCATCGGTGCTGTAGTAATGCAGGGAAATCAGTCTTTTATTTTCCCATCTGAGAAGGGAAATGCTTTTAATCTGTAGCCTCGGCATGTTGACACAGGTTTTATCCCCAGATGTTAATGAAAACTGCTGAGGCTGTTGGCTAAAGTAAACCAGATCATCTCCACGTTGCATTGCTTTTCATTTCAACGCCACTTTTAATGCTCAGCATGCAAAATCCACCTGATTTGGCAAAATAATCACAGTATTGAATAATCAGGCCCCATCTTATCTTAATGACCTTGTAGTACCATATCACCCTATTAGAGCACTTCGCTCTCACTCTGCAGTCCTACTTGTTGTTCCTAGAGTATTTAAAAGTAGAATGGGAGGCAGAGCCTTCAGTTTTCAGGCCCCTCTCTTCTTCACTCACTATGACCGCTCTGCACTGGTCGCAGCAGATGGCCCCGCCCCTCCCTGAGCCTGGTTCAGCCGGACATTTCTTCCTATTAAAAGGGAGTTTTTCCTTCCCACTGTCGCCAAAATGCTTCCTCTGTATAAATAAAATTTAACTGGCCAAGTTTTACTGTTTGCTAGCACGTTAGCCAAAGATCAGTTTAGCTTTAGCACACATAACTTATTAGTTACCTCCAAAAATATGTTCTTATTTTTCAGTTCCATAAAGGACCATTTCAGTTTCGACACCAAAACATTTTTAATATATAACAGGGCTCTAGAGTGCCACCAATTTGGTCGCAAATGCGACCAAATTTTTCAGTGGTGCGACTAAAAATATATATATATTTGGTTGCACCTGTGTGACCAACTGTTAGGGTGGCAAAAAAAAAAAAAAAAATCTGCAACCTTCCCTGTGGTCAACAACAGACACATTTTGCCCCTATCGTGGACTAAACCAATCAGAGATAGTCAGGGGCGGGACCTCTCTGATTGGCCGTGGTCCAGTTGAAAGTGCAGGTGGAAGTGGGAGGTGAGTAGCTTGAATAAAGCGATATCGATTCATTAGATCCTGACTGTGTTTTGCCAGAAACGCCAGATTCTCAGATTAAATCTCACAAAACCATTTCAACAACAACCAAACAGCAGATGAGAGCAGGTACACGGACTCCACACAAAGACGTAAACACAGACCGACGCATCAGAATCAGCTTTGTCTTTCTCGGCTTTCTCACCCGCCGGCCCGCAGACGGACACGCTGTCGGAGCTCAGCGATCCTGATGCGTCCGGTCCGCGCTGTGTTTACGTCTTTTTGCGCTGATTCTGAGCTGCAGGTTTTGTCTCTCCAACCAAAATTCACCGAGCCAGCAGCAAAAGAAGCAGCAAACTGCGCTTCACATTTGATCAATGTCGTCATGAATTTTGCTGTTTTGCTTCCACGACTATTAAAATCACACTTCATGCACAGCTAGCTCTCTCTCTCTCTCTCTGTACTTCAAGAACAGTTTCCGTCTCCAATCTCTGTTTTCTGTATTATTCATTGGCTTATTACCCACCAGTCTACCGTTGTTCACAGCGCTTTTTCTTTTTCACTTAAATGACCTCGGACAAGAAAGCCTATTTTTTCTGTTGTTCAATACTGAAGAAATTTAAACTTTATATGCAGAACATTGTAGAATATTTTTAAGGTTATCTGCTATAAAAAGCCAGACCAGGAAAATCTCCTTCATGTTTTTCTGTGTTTTATTCTCAGTTACCTTCACACAAAGGCATCTGCTGTGATGTTCACAATTCTGATGAAGTCAGTGCTGATAAATGATCAGAATTATAATATTTCTGACTCTTCTGGCTAAGTTGAATCGAATCGGGACTTTGAAAACCGGAATCGAATGGATTATAGAAATCAGTGATGATACGCAGCCCTAGTGAGCAGCCTAGGCAGGACAGACGTGGATGTAGCTGTAATAGGAAAAGAACTATTGCTCACTTTTCTGTTAAGGCCTGATCCGTCTGAAATTCATAGCCAGTGCTCTGACACGGTGTCATCAATCTTTGAATGCTGAAAAAGCAGCAGTGTATCCAGAAAAACACATTATATTATATCAATTATTATAAAATTTGTGTGCGCCTAACTTTTGTGCCAGTACGCCCAACTTTTTAAAGTTTTTAAAGTACCGGTACGCCCATGGCAAAAAGTTAGTCTAGAGCCCTGTATATGCAGAATTAATCGTTTCCAATATTCTGACTCGTGCTGAGAGAAGCATTTGGCAGCCAAGAACCAGCTGATGCTTCTTGCTGGCTTTGTAAACCGGAACACTTTTTCTATAGCATTTTAATCCTGCTTTAAAAGCTTCACGATTACACGTGTCATTGTTTGCAAGCTTCTTATCCATTGCATCTTTATTAACGCTCTGGTTTGCTCAGCTGTGTGTAAAGAGCTTGAAATGCTAAATGGTTTCAGCTTTAAGTCGAAGGACCTCACACACACTCTGATTTTGTCTCTTCATGTAAGAAAAATCACGTCACATGATTAAATAAAGATGAGACGAATTTCTGCTCAAACACATCTGGAAAGTTTATTAACCACAATCGTCCGACTCACACTGGACAGAGCTCACAAATGAACACTTGTAGCTTCAAATCAAAAGGAAAAAAGAAAACACAGGTTTGCACTTTCAGCTGCTGTCACAACAACAGCCAAACTGCGTTTTTCTAGCCACTGGTTCCAGTCTACACGAGCACTGACAGCGTTCCACTCCGATGCTCATCCGCTGTTGGTCCCGATGTTCACGCTGGGTGAACGGAAAACTCATGCATGATAAAAAGATTTACAGAAAGTAAATGCGCTGCGGACACAGAGGAGCCAGAGGAGGCAGCAAACACGAGAGAAAGCAGGAAACGTCCACGCGTCGGTGCTGGACCAATAAATAATACATTAGAGGATCAGGGACATCCTGTGGGGCGTGTGGAAAAACAACAACAACGAAATATTAAATTAAAGGTGCTCAAAAAACTATTTATAGAAGAAAATCTTTTGTGGCATTTATCAATGTGGTCCAAAAATCAAATACAAATCAATGAATTTAATGGGGGGGGTTGCATCTATAGACTTATATCTTAAAAAAATAGATCAGTGATCATTTCTGGATTTGGTCAAAGTCTCTGCACAAAGAAAAAAATGCCACGGCTGAATCTCAGACGTACAAGATTACAATCAGTAGCTTTATAAAGTGACATCATCATCATCATCACCACAGCGATGGCTTTGAGACCACACAGCCCGAACGAGCTAAAGATACAGACGGGCTGTTGGGTCGTGGACACGGGCGCGCGCACAGGAAGAGAAATCACTCAAAAGAACACGTGACGATCAGGGAGCGCAATAAAAGCAGGAGCTGGCGCGTCGCACCTCACGGCGGTCGGGGTTTGATTGTGTACTGCGACATCTCTGCTGCGAGGTGCGACTAACTCGACCTGCTCGCTGCCGGACACAAATTTAGATTCTCGCAGTTTTGGATAAACGAGGTGAAGAAAAAAGAAAACGCGTGATTATCGATCCAAACAAACTTTAAAAGAACACAAAAGTTTTTTTGTTGGTTTTTACCCCAATTCAAGCACATCAATAAAAATCTCTCTAAATACATAAGTTAACATTCAAATGTGAATTAACACTTCAAGCAGTAGCGTAATCAAACTGACGTGGGAGGAAGGACGTGTGCAGCGTCACCGTCGGCTGGCAAACACCGTAGCAGCATAGGTCTGATCCCCGTTTGATGATTATCTACAAAATCTAAAAACAGCCTCTCAGCTTCCTGCGAGGACAAAGCTCATCTGTGAAATCTGAAGGGGACGAAGACGTTTTATACTCAAGTTAGGGGACAGAAATGATACAAATACTTAAAATCGGAGCTTTTTTTTTCCCCTGAAGAGATTTCTGTAGAATGTCTCTGCTGCTGGTGTCACAAAGCGTAGTATACATTTTAATAATCAAATACTGGAAATGTTGTGCATTTCTATTAGAAAAATAGTTTGAATGTGTGCTTTTTCTCCTCTGAGTGAACATTTTGTGACAGTCTGTGCCACACAACAGCATTATTTGGTAAATCATCGGGGGTTTGGGGGAAGCACAGAACGCGGTCCATCTACGAGCGAACCTTCTGTGAGATAAGGCAGGAAACCATGGCAACAATCCTTTGATTTTTTTTTTTTTTTTTTACGTGGTGTTATGGGAGCTGTTTGTGAGGACTTGTCAATTTGTCGTGAGCACTCACAGTGTATTAGGCAGGGTTATATAGGTACAGTTTGGGAGGATGGTTCTTAAAAAGATAGCAGGCCCTGAGGAGTATCCAAATTGCTGTTTATTTCCCACTTCCTGTTTCCTTTCAAGAATTCAGAGCTGCCGAGTCTGCTGGAGGCAGGTTGGCAGCATAGACTGTATATAAAAAGATGCATGTAGCGTGCAGGTGTTAAAGTAAAGCCACTGCAGAAGCGACTTAAACCTGGCACAACAGGGGCGGCAGATTAAAATCCTGATGAATTTATGTTCTCAGTAGTTTTATGTCAGTGCAAAAGGCACCATATGGGCTAAAACAAAACAGCATACTATACATGAGGGCGGGTCCAGTTCACGATTGACAAATCATCAGTGAATGAGCGCGTGTACTCTGGTTTCCCCCACTCTGCTCAATTTTTAAAGTTAAAAACAAAGCTGAAAACGCTGACGCCGAGGCTTCAAAACTGAATTTCACACAGTAACCTGGCTACGTCCCTCTTTTATATACAGTCTATGGCTTGTAGATTGTTTCAGCCAATGAGGGTCTTGGTCCTCTCGGTCAGTTTTGGGGCTTTTCTGAGAGGATGATGCAGATTTCAGTGCAACAAACCACATTGCAGAGCAAGCAGCTAGCTAGAACAACAATATAGCTACCACCAACGTTTGCAGTAAAACTACCAGAAAGGTACATTAGATTATACGAGTACAAGAGGTCTTACAATCCTACTTAAAATACTCAGCACCGGCTTGCGTCGCTAGACACGTCACTCACTGATAATCACCACAACACTAACAGACGTCCATCACTTCAGCACTGTGATGCAGACTGAGCTTCCAGTTCTCAGTAACACACAGACACAAGTTGTGACATACTGAGATGATTACCTGCAGCGGGTGTGTGTTTTCTGAGACCATTTAAGTCGTAAATCGCGTTGACGGCATATTTCGGAGCTTCGGTCATCCTCGAAAAGATCTATTGAGCATTCAGACCCAAAGGGACTCATCTGCTTTGGCGCAAATGGGCGATAGTTCCTAAATCTTACGACACGGTTCAACAAATCAAAGAATTTTGAAGCCGGTTTGGTTTTTTCCCCTCTTCTTTCAAAGTCTTCCACGAGCCCCGGAGAAAGCAAACACTTCTGGCAAGAATAGAGTTTGGACGAACTTCCTGTCGAAGGCTGTGACTCTAAAGACAGAGAGACCTCCCCACTGAAGTGGCATTAACTCTGGAAAAGGTCACGTGAGAAAACCAGCCACCAATATTTGTATGAAAATACCAAATCAGAGTACCAGAGTTCATGTTCCCTGAACCTAAACCTTTCTTTTTGTAACCCTGGGTTTTGCTGAGGTCGTCCTGTCGCCCGTTCCCTTACGTGCTGCGATAGGTCTTGATAATGTCTTTAATCTGCCTCCTGCAGATGGGGCAGCAGGCGTTGGACATCTTCTTGAGTTTGAGGCCGCAGGTGTAGCACAAGCACATGTGCCCACAGGCGTAGATGACCGTGTCCACGGTGTTCTCGTAGCAGATGGAGCACTCGTCGGACCACGGCCCGCGGCCGGACGGGAACGTGGGGGACTTGGGGAGGCTGGCCGGAGAATTCGGAGTTGTTCCTGTTGCAAAGACACAAAGACGATGCTAAACAGGTGTTCGATACCCCAATGCATCAAATAACCTGATGTCATACAGGGAAACTACACTGTGTGTTTATACACAATCACAGCATGTCTTTTATCTCATCTTCATCCCCTCGAGCAACCGGTTGCAGCAGATGGCCCCGCCCCTCCCCGAGCGTGGTCCTGTCTCAGTTTTCCTACCTTCCTACTGGCGCCAAAGCAATTACTCACAGGCAGTCGTATGATTGTTGGCTCACAATATGAACCTATAATCGAACTGAATTAATGGGCAGATCCACACGGGGTGAAACAGAGAAGCTGCTGGTTATGTTGGGATTAGCAGCTAGAGATGCGCGGTTGTTCAAGCCTACGATGAACTTTGCAGTTCTGTCTTTATGCCAGACTCATTCACTGCTGTGTGCTGGCTTTACTTTAGTTAGTGCTTTAACCTCCTGGCTTTTGACCTTAACTTCCAAAAAGTTTGCTTTTCTTGCTGAAGAAAAGAACATTTGCTGAATTTTGGTTGGTCTAAGATTTATGGATCACAGAGGCTAAATTGCTGTCTCAAAATCCTCCCCAGTGGTGTGCCAGTCATCACTTCCTAAAGATGCTCTACATAAAAATCTTTGCAGCTTCTGACTTTGAGTATGAAGCTAAAAGATTTTTAAAAACGACCCCCCCGTGGGTACAGGAACACATTGCATCTGTCCCATTTACATAAACGGAGTTACGTGACATAAGAACACGTGCCGAAAACATTTGCCTACTTCCAGCTGCAGCAGCAGAACCATGAAGTGCTGGCCATTGTTCCAAACTACTGCAGGATGACATCTGCTCACTACCCTATAATGGCTTCCCCAGAGTCCCCTGAGGGGTGATTGATTGTCTACTTCTACAGTTGCAGTTTCCTGTCTGGGTATACGTACCCCCTGCTGAGCTGCAGTAAGCGGCTGAGCACAGACCTCCGTTCAGGACCGGATCAGAGATGCCACTTCCCAGGGCGCTGGGGGTGTGCGGAGAGGAGGAGGGCGAGCTGGGATTCGACGTGGCCCGCGGATCCCCGAGATGCGTGGAGCCTGGTCGGAGAAAATACAGCCAGGGTGTTGGATGAGTGAATTTAGCAGCCAGTTACAGCAAAAACACTAGAATTTGTCTTTTCAACACGATGCTGCTGTCTGTCGTGATCATCAGACGACAGAGTGACACCAGCAGTGATGTAAACACAGGAAGAAAAAGCAGCCCAGACATCAGAAAGACTGGATTAGTACACTGCACATCAAATAACTCAAACAAAAGCAGATTTTTGCACCAGAGATAAAAGAACCAAAGACACTACATCAAATTATCTTCTCATGCACGACTGCGCTTCATTTCTACCTTTCTGTGTTTTGCTTTTGTTTCATCTTCATGTACAGGAGTACAGACAATGAGAGCAGGATGAGCTTCTTTCCCACTAAACGGGCAGCGCTCGAACGCACAGAGAGACGACTCCAATTTGCATTTTAAAAGTACAAACATATTCAACATCGGAGAAAAGAGATGCTCCGTCGTTTCCTCTTGAGAAAAAGAGGTTTGAAAAAAATAGTAGGCATCTTCCTGTATCTGCATCCTGGCTGAAGGAAACAAGTGGAAATTCCTAGTGCAAGGTTAGGGAACACATTTCGGAATGCTGGTGACTCACGGATGGACAGATGAGGTGCAGGTGTGCTTGAAGCTGTGCTACATGTTCCAGTAAAATCTGTGTGGAATGACTCTTACATCCACAGAAAACCACTTCCAGACACCGGCCTGTCTCTTTAAACTGATTTTAGCTCCTTATTTTGGCTCTTTAGACGTTACTTTCATTCAAAAAAAGAGCACAGGTGATATTAGCAGCTAGCTAAGGAGACCAGACTCCAGCCTCTTAGCCACAGCAGCCTGATGGTCTGATCGTTATTTTACTCTGCAGTAAATTCAGTGCATTCATAAATATTCACAGCACTTCACTCTTTCCACGTTACTGCATTTTTCCAAAATTACAGCCTCAGGTGAGTATGATGCTACGAGCTAGGCTAACCAATTTTGGGGCGGCTTCATTGTAGAACCTGTCAGCTCCATCAGGTTGGATGTTGAGCATCTCTGCGCAGCTGTTTTCAGATCCCTGCACAGATATTCAGTCGGGTACAAGTCTGGGCAAATTAAAGGTTGTTCATCAGGGTCGTTGTCGTGTTGGAACCTTTGCCCTGGTCTGAGGTCCGGAGTACCCTGAAGCAGGTTATCATCAAGGATGTCTCTGCATTCATCTTTCCTTTGCGCCCGACTGCTGTCCCAGCTACTGAGAAACATCCCCACAGCATGATGCTGCCACCGCCATGCTTCACTTTAGGGACGGCATTGGCCTGGTCATAAGCGGTGCTTAGTTTCCTGATGCTTGGCATTCAGGATAAAGAGTTCAATCTTTATTTCATCAGACTGGAGGATTTTGTTTCTCATTGTGTGAGAGTCCTTCAGGGCAAACAGGCAACTAAATATAGAGCATGTGAAGCTGTGAATATCCTGAAAACGGACCAAAGTTCGGAATGATTCATCCGCAAATCAAGGTTCGTCATTAATATGTTGCTGTATGGTTTGCATTACTTTCTTGATCCTGAGCTCAACGTCCAAACTGAGATCTGAGTCGACCTGATTCCTTTCTGAGTGCACTGGGAGTTTTTCAAGAACTTAAACTAATAAAAAGTTGGCGAGACCTGAGAACGACCACTGAAACGCTTTTGGGGTCTTTGGGCATCTGTTCAAAAACAACAAGAGACAAAGCACCGCAGCGCTGTTTCCTTGGACAGGAAACAGAGTCATTTGTCTTGGAAGAGAATTCATGTGGGTTCCTTTGTCGTTTAAAATAACTAATAGTGCAGCGTCACAATAAATGCAATGACACTAAAGAGTGCAAATTATGATGCAAATGAGCATTCTCGCAGAGCAAGCAAGTAATCGCCCTCAAAGAATTCCCATCAAATGCTTTGCTGCTTCAACGTCAATGCAGATTACTTTAATTACCTCGTCTGAAGCTTACTGTCAGAATATAGCATACTAACAACTGCATCACAAGTCAGCTGCTGTGTGCAAAGATATGTAACGATAGCATTTCAGCACGTCTTTGTTTTAAGCATCACTCCACTGCAGTGAGTCTCAGTGGGGAACGGTTCACGGTGTTCTCCTGGACAGCGGACAGAAAAAAGTGAAACCAGAGTCATCTGTTGCGCCGTCAGCGCTGAGCAAACATCACGATGACAGCCCGCCACTAACGCACGTCCCAGCGGGCATCGCTCTGCTGCCATCTGCACCGGCGGCCTGATCAATCCAACCAATGCCCCGACACGCCGCCACACGCAGACCTACTTCACTTTGGAGCCAGTCCAATCATCAGAATGTCACCCCCCAACAACCAGCTGCTTATGTACAATCATTTTAGCGTATTTAATGAAGCTATGCTAAATTTAACCTTCATAGCAAGAATATTTTACAAGCTACAAGAAAAGCTTTTTAGCTCAAATATCATGAGATGTGTCATCCTGAAACCCAGTGTTTGATATGTTTGATCGTTCTCTGATAATCAAGCGTTTTCTGACGTGCAGCTGGTCCAAACTAGCTGTAGCATATGAACCGTCTCATTTCCACACCATGCCCGTCTTGCAGCCGTGGTTCCTTCTGCATCAGGTAAAAGGAATGACTGTGCTGCACGTGTCTGCAGGACGATCTGTCTGAGGTGACGTTGGCAGGGTTGGGTTTACACAAGGACTCTCTTCTGTTTGCATAGCAGCCGCTGCCCCGGTGCTCCTGTGGAATTTGCACGAGTGTTTTTGCACTATATGTACAGTGCGTAACACGCTGTAGCAGACCATATTTAGCAGCTTGAGTGAACACATTTGTTTCTAAGGGGAGGCCTCGGGCAGTGGTCACACTCCTTATCTTAGCAGAATGCTCGATTCGTGTACAGGATCAACACAAAAGCTGCACAAGACATTGTGCAGATTCCTCCTTCACTTCTCTGGGACCAAAAACTGCAGTTCTTAAGCTTTGCCACTTGAGGCTCCAGCAGTGAGTTAAACTATCCAACTCTGCAGCAGAAATAAACACATTTACAGCCTGAGACACTCGTCCACTCCTTATTTTTTTGTTAAATGACAAATGTATTGAGTGTAGGGAGCGGTGGACAGCCCGATTACCTGCAGAGAGCATGTGCCACCAGATGGAGGCCGTGTTCAAAGTATGCGGTACAGCTGATCTGAGCCTCTGCTAGAAACCAAGAGCTGAAAACAGTGAAAGTGTCCCCTGCAGCCACCTGCAGAGCTCTCCGTAGCGTATTTATTGAGATTTTTTAGTGCTTCTTCCGTTCCTGGTGAACTTTGTCACTACGTTTTCCAGCCGTTTCACCTGTGTGTATTCGAGCTACCCACTATCAGATATTTGGAGGTTTGCACAGGATGTTTGCATAGATTGAAAACCGCTCTGTGCAGGCTAATACGCATGCAAACACAACCATGGTACCATAAAACAAGCGTTAGGAGCCTGACTGTTACGGCACGTTAGCACGGGTGGATGTCGCTGAGCCTATTCAGCGCCGTCTGAGTCACTTCTATTCTTTAGAAAAAAAAACAATTGGTGACAGCCCAGTGCCAAACTGGGTGACCTCAAGGTAGCAACGTTCATCTGTCTTTAGTCAGTGGGACAAATCTTTATTAAAGGCTTCTTCTAATGTTTAAAAATGCAGGTCAAGCCTTCCTGCTGCTTCATGGGCTGTTATACAGGCTTCATCTGAGCTGTTTATGGTGGTTATACTCGGTCCAACATGGGGGAGAAGGTTATGCATGTTATGATGAAAATCATTTCAAGAAGCATGAGACGTGCACACACGCAGCCAGGCGCTGTTTGACCTTCACATGAACATCCTCTGTGACAGGATGAGCAGCTAAAATGTACTGGAATGTAAAATGTGTCCAGACCTCAGAATCAAACCCTCACGCTGCGAGTGCCGCTCGGCCTACGAGGTGCTCCTGCACTCGTCAGGTTCCACCCTTCATCAGATTATTTGAGCCTGATCACCCTGCGGCATGAGCGGTTCCTCCGCGGGGCCGAATCCTCCCTCTCTCCCTGTTAATCCCTCTGGCAGGCGGGCAACTCCCACCCAGGGTAGCTGAGGCAGGATCTGCGGTGCCCAGCCCTGATCCTGCATGCTCGCCGATAGATTAAAGCGTCCGGCGCGAACAGCTGTGAGAGGCGGGGCGGCTTTCTGTGGCCACGTCTCTGCTGTAGTCTACATCAATCAACCGTCCGTCTTTAGCTCATATCGGAGCATCTGTGGACAGATCCTCTCGCTGTCAAAGCACGGAAGGCACGCAGGGCGTGCGAGGGGAGGGATGAGGCCTGCAGAGGAGGGCGAAGGTTTAGGGCTTAAGTTCCCTCTGAAGGGAGGGAAGGAGTTAAACTCTGCAGGCATGTTTATAGACAGAAAAAAAGCAATCAAGAGAAAGAGCGGAACAGAGAGAAACAGTTTACACGAACGTTTCCTCTGCTAAAGCACTTCAAAATGGGTGGGCCTTCATTTAATTGCAGAGAAGCTCTTGTTCTGAGCTGCTATCGGGACAAATGCTCACTTAGGCTCGGATGTTTTTTAGTGCGTGTGTTTGGATCAGATGAGAGGAGAGCAGCTCGGTAGATACCAGTTTAAGGTCACGGCTTACCCCGCTGCATGAAATGTTAATAGTCTCTTTCTATCTGTGGAGGAGATATTATCTTAAGAGACAAAGGAGCTATTTTGGAGGGACGACACAGTCGTACATCCCGGAGTTGTTTATCTCCACATCAAGCACAGAGCGGAGTGTGTGAGCACCCATGCATATGTATGAATGCATGTATCTGTGTGCATGATTAGATGCAGGTCTAAAATAAATTTTAGAAAACACTCCAGGTATTAAAAGTGATCATTAGGAGCAGCTTGGTTAGGAGTTTGAATTTCTCTGCAAAAGTTCTGTCAGAGCAGCACGAATGAATAATAAAAACAAAGAACATTAGGAACAAAAGTGAGACGCCGAGGTGTGAA